TCCCATGAAAAATATTGGCATGTTATAGATGAATGGACATCCTATGGCTCACAAGAAATAAATTGATTCTTGTTTCCAGTTTAATTGTGAGTTTGGAATCAAATAAGCCTTCATTTCCATTATGCTCTAAAAAATGTGAAGTGGCAAAAGGGCAGCTCAAGGAATAGGGACTCTCCTTGTATTCAAAATTGTTACAGCAACCATTCCTTTAAATTGAAAAAGGTCAAAAAGTATTTTTGTCAGCTATCTTCCAAAGACTTTCTCGCTATCCACTGGTAACTTTCCTCCTCCTCCGCTCGTCGGATTAACCATGATAACTTTCATGTACAAGGACAAGTGAAGCTATGCATGTTAATCAGGAGAATAGGGAAAACCGCAGTTGATGATAAAATTAATAGATATCTGATCAATTTTGAAGTAAAACTTTGAAAAATGTGGCAATGGCTGTAAAGTAGGAATTAATTTCCATGATGATTTCTCTTCTTCTTGCCCTTTTTGTTTGTGGTTGCTTCTAATGACACTGCGAGTGTTTTAGCAAGGGGAAAAGAGTATGGATACAATTATGGGCTAAAACACTCGCAGATATTTCATTCTAATTTCACCTAATAATTTTGGAAATGGCAACGAAGGCAGCAGTTAGGACAGGGGAAGGAGAGATAGGGGCCATTTTTCTCCCTCCACTTTAAATGGGATGGGGGAACGGGGAAGGAAACCTCACCTTATCCCCAGTTCTTATCCCGCCTATAATTTAATGACATATATTTGTGGAACATAAAATAGAAAGCATTATATGATTATATATATATAATATGAAATTGTGGTAAAATAATGCAATATTTCTTGTTTATTTAGTTGGTAAAAGGATTTTTCTTATGTTAGATTACTTTTATATATATATGGCATGTTGTTTATTAAAAAAAATAATGATAATTGATTTAGATTTTTTCTAAAATTAAATATGAAGAACTGAATTCACAAAGATCAAAATAATTTTTAAACTTTATTTCATGTTGAATTATTGACTAAAAATTCAAAAAAATAATTAGTAAATTTATTATCAGTATTGTGTATGGGCGCGCATGCGTATATAAAGGCAAATAAAAAATAAAAGTAGTAGTGGACACTAGGGGTGGCAATTTTCGATACGACCTGAAAACACGACACGAATCTAACACGAAATTAATGGGTTTGGGTTGAGGTTTCGGGAATTCGGGTCAGAATCGGGTTGGACCCGATGAACCCGAAAAGAAAACAGGTCGATTTCGGGTCAACCCGTGGTGACCTGATATGACCCGATATGACCCGTTTACGAATTAAAAATAATTTAATAAACATAAAAATAATTTTATCTAACTAAACCAAGTTATTCTTTTTTTCAAAGGCATTAATTACTTAATCCTAAATGAATTTATTTAATTTGTGTGAAGTTGAAATTATTATATTTGGACAAATAATATATTATATTATTTTTTACTTTTATACTGTTTTAATTTAATTTATATTTTGTTTGGGATAAAACACTTTTACGGTGTTTAATTTATTTTAGATTTGGTTTGGAATTATTTATTTAAATTTTTATTACTTGATTATGTAATTAGTTTTGTGAGAAATTGATTTTATTAGAAATTACAGTGATAAATTAATAAATTAAAATTAAGTTTCGGGTCGACCCGCCAACCCGTCAACCTGAAATTTTCGGGTTCGGATCAGCATACCTGACCCGTCACGGATTGACGGATCGGGTTCGGGTCAACAGATTGTCTGACGGGTTGATCCGAACCCGACCCGCCAACCTGATTTGGACCCGAATTGCCACCCCTAGTGGACACCCACGGAAGCACATGCTCGGGTAGCTGGGCAGAGGCGGAGGGAGCTTTAAGGCTCCACACTTCAAAGTTCAAACCCACACTAGTTGCCTTCCATAAATAATTTCACTTTCAATAATATTTGAAAAGCCCCCATGCAACTTCCTGGATTTTTCCTCTCGACAATGTCGTCAATGGCCAAGTCTTTGCCCTTTCGGCGGTGGAGCTTTTAATTTTTTAATTGTCCATGCAATGATGAAAACTGAAAAGCAAATCATCTGCAACATCTATGCTCCTTCTAAGTGCCCACTTGAACGACTATACTAGCAGCTCATCCCGCAAAGAATCCTTGCTTCCCCCTTGACTAATTGATCTTATGTTGTTAAAAGGCTCATTCCAACTAAATTTTGAAAAATGTGTTCACTAGCAAAACCCAAGAAAAGCCCTTTCAAAGTTTTATATCAAAATGAAAAAGCAATCGTGACAGCATTGCTTTCTCATGCCTTATGCTTATGTTTGAAAGCTTAAGCTAAGTTGCGATCAGTTTGATTTTTCTACCGATCAATTTATCTGAGAATTATATAACATCAACATGTATGCGTAATCTCTATTTAGAGGTGGCAAAATAGGCGGGTTGGACGGGATTTGCTTGGGTTCGAAATGGAACCGAATTATATGGGTTTGAATTTAACCCTACCCATATGTGTTTTGGGACTAACTTGGGCGGGATCACTTTGGGATGGGTTTAGATTGATCCCGCCCAATATCCAAATCTATTTTCTATATTTTTTTTCCTTTAAATTTTTTTCATTTTTTATATAACTTTAATATTTTTATTTATTAAATTTCTATTGATTTTATTGTGAATTTATATTTTCCTGAATTCATTTACATTCTAGAACGATCAATAGTTATTTTAAAAAGACATAACATTTTGGTATGAATGAACATATATTCTTCCTGGATTAAATCAAAAATTGGATTAACAAATAAAGAAAAAGATAGATATACAGCCATATTCCAACCTTACCCATAATGTTGTCTGACACAAGGACTAGAAACAAAATTTTTTAGCACCAAATTCATTCTTATTGACATTCTTAAAATTTCCAAAATTTGATACAAAAGAAATTCACATTAAATGCTGAATAAAGCTAGCACAGAAACGAAGAAGCTGATTAAAAATTGATAACATGGTTGCATATAGAAGTATAATATAACTTTTAAAAGTAGATGCAATTCATTAGAGTTGCAATGTACTCTTTGGATTAAAAAATATGAAGTACAATTCTTTGGATGTAACTAACTTGCCGCCAGAATTACATTTATATTATATATGGTGGCCAACTAACCTGAAGTACATTGGTTGATAGTCGACGTATTTAACATTATTGCAATTCCAGCAGCCTTTCTTTTGACATTCCTTCACGAGGGCTCGCTATTAAACATTACTGCAATTCCAGTAACCATTAAAGTCATTGGTGGCCTGCTATCAGTCAACTTTTACCATCCTTTCCTCAGTACTCAGCAATCATAATACATACTTTTGGCAGAGTCACAAGGTTTTCAGCTTCTTCAAGTTTTCTTGCCAATTTCAGGTATGATGAGATCATATCCATCTGAATTTTGTAACTTTTGCAGTTTTCTCTTATTTCATCGTGTTATTAGCAGTAGTGAAAGCTAGATATAAATATAATGCAAACTTTTTCCTTTTGATAGAGTCTTGCTGTTATCATTTTCTTCAACATAATTTGACCTGATTTCAAGGTCCTTCACGATATCATATTTGATCTTGATTTTGTAAATTTTTGTGATTGTTTCTCAAATCATCATGTTATATTTAGATTTCTGAGGCCCAAAAATCTTGAAAACTATTTTTTTCCCGTTTTCTTTCAACACATGGAGTGCTCTCTCCAAGCTCTTTACATGATTGACATTTTTTGGCAAGAATTTCGGACGTTATTGTAGTTGCAAAATTTTTGTTATCAATTCTTTAGAGAAGACAAATGTTTGGACTAGCTTGGTAAGTTCTAGAGCTTACCATGATGTTATATTTTATTATCAATGATCATGAAGATCCCCTTCTCCCTGATTAATTGAGGTGTACAGATCCCTCAAAGGAAAGAGAAAAACGTCTTTGAGGGCAAAAATGAAAGAGAGTAATATTAATAGGAAAAATATAGTCAATTAGCAAAATTCGTTTGACACAATAAGGAGGTAATGGTCAAAAGGTTGAGACTCGAAAGTTCTTTGTTAGTGATATCTAATGTGCCTATACGTCTGTAAATTCGTCGAGTAATGTGAGTAATTCGACATACACTCCCGTGGATCTAAAACTTTTTTTATCAAAAAATAATTAAGAGGTCATTTGCCTCAAATAAGAGAAAGAAGAATTTTGTGAGTGAGAAGAAACACTTGTACCCAAAAAATAGTACTCCCTTCGTCCCACTTTGATAGTCCTGTTTTTCTTTTTCGTCTGTCCCAAATTGTAGTTCACTTTTCAATTGAAAAATGCAGTTATATTTTAATTTTTCTAAAATATCCTTATTCAATGTAAGTTATTGTTACTATAAACCTACCCCATTTAATGAGAGTTGATTCTTTTTTTACCATCAATTCAAGTTCCCATAAAGTTGTACTCTAATTAATGCGAGGGTATTTTAGGAAAATAGTTACCTAAATTGATTGTTCTAACAAAGTTAACTATTTTTTCTTAAACTGTGAGGAAAAAAAATCAGGACTATCAAAGTGGGACGGAGGGAGTACTATGTACAGGAATATTTGTGCTTAACAACATCATTATCCTTTATGAACATTTCATTCAGCCAAGAAGGTTATCGTATAATAGAAGTTGTATTTGATAAACAGTTGGATATGATAAAAAGTCTTTTCATCTTAATATTGATGATGCCCAAATTCAAAAATAAATGCAAAAAGAAAATCCTAAGTATTAATTCCTTTGCATCATTGAAACGTTGATTAAAAGTTGAGGATACCATTATGTAGAATCCAACATTAAACGGCTAATTGTATAGTGTACTCACTGGGTTCAAATTTGTCAAACTAAGTTTGGAAATGCCCTATTTCAAAATTTTCCACAGGAACATCATGATTCTTATGCTGCCTTTGTTGAACAACGTTATCGGTTGATAGCTAGACTTTTTAGAGATTCTTTTGTCACTTAAACAGGTAAGGGAGTTCACTAGAAATTAACAATGGAGGCACTTGGGAATTTGGCATTAGACAGAGGAAGGAGGTACGTCAATTTGGATGATAATCTTAGGTCACTCGAAAGGAAGTTGCAAAGATTAGGCGGCAGAAAATCTGACTTCGAGTTGCAAGTGACGAATGGAGAAAGATCAGGTACTAAGAAAAGGAAAAGGGAGGTTGAGATTTGGTTTGAGGAGGTAGCAACAGTAGAAAATGAATTCGGTGCATTGAAAAAGAGCATACAAGAGGGTGGATTTCTAGAAAATGCAATTAGCAGTGGGGATAGAGTGGCGAAAATGGATGCAATTGTAGAAGACCTTATTGAGCAAAGTAATCATTTTGATGGGCTTTTGCTTGAGGCTTTTGAGAGCAGAGGTGAGCCACGAGTGACAACGAAATTATTTGGAGAAATGTTTGACAGAGGTTTGAAGCAATCTGGGCGTGGTTGGTCATCGATAGCATCTCAAACATTGGGATTTATGGGATGGGCGGTGTGGGTAAGACTACATTGGCGAAACACATCCATAATCATCTCCTTGAGAGAACTCAATTCAAGGTTTATTGGATTACTGTCTCTCAAGAATTCAGCATCAAAAGGCTGCAAGATGACATTGCTAAACGCCTAAGGCTTGATCTGTCACATGAGGATGATGAGGATAGCAGGGCAGCCATTTTGTCCAGGGCATTGGTGAAGCAGTCCGTCCTCATACTCGATGATGTTTGGCAAGAATTTTCTTTTGAAAAGATTGGAATTCCCCTTGGTGCAAACAAATGCAGAGTGATCTTGACTACTCGGTCACTGGAATTATGCAACAGGATTAGCTGTCAAAGGGTATTTGAAGCTAAAACTTTGGCTACAAATGAAGCTTGGGATTTGTTCAAACATACACTTGACCCTAAGACAGTGCTTCATGGAGAGATGGAAGAAATTGCCAAGTCTGTAGCAAAAAGGTGTGCTGGTTTGCCTCTTGGTATTATCACAGTGGCTGGGAGCATGAGAGGCGTGATCAACGTCTGTGAGTGGAGAAATGCATTGGAACAATTGAAAGCATGTTCGGTAGGGCATGATGAGATGGAACGAGATGTGTTTCCCATCTTAGAATGGAGTTTCAATCGCTTGAATGGATGTTTAAGGCAATGCTTCTTGTATTGCTCTCTTTATCCGGAAGATTGTTATATAAAAAGAGAGGAACTAGTGATAGGGTGTTAATTGTTAGTAATTTTATTATTAATTTCCCCTTTTATTCTTGCCAAATATTGTTTTAATTATTAATATTTACTTATATTTGGTATTGGACTCAATTTCAGGAAGTGAACCAGAAAATTACCAAAAAGGAGGGACTTGTATGGAAAAATGCAGACTTCTAAGGGCTTCAACCTTTGAGTCCTTGAATTGGTGGGGACCACAAGCTAGTGCAAGGCATTTAGTCATTTGGGCTTTTCAAAAAAAGCAACGTAGAGAGACTTGGAACAACAAGTACTTTGGAGGCTTTGTCCACATGTGCGGGGACCACGGATAAGAAACATGAGTCATTTGGACTCTAGGAAAGAAACGTACAAAGCTTGTGAAATGGAATTGGACTTTGAATTTGGTGTGGGGACCACTAGAGATAGCATTAGACTTCCTTTTGGCTTTAAAAAGGGAGAAACGTACGAGAAGAGGAGGAATCAATAGTTTTAGTTTAGGTTTTTAGCATAGTTTTAGTTTTCTTTTCTTAGCTTTTTCGCATGGTTGTTCTCCATTAATGGAGGACTAACCTCTTAATTCTAGTCAAGGGGACAACTGAAGACTTGGTTCAACAATTACTGTGAGATCGAATTTATTTTAATTGTTTCCTCCATTTATTGGTATTCATATGTTTCCTACTTTTAACTGTTATAGCTCTTGTGTATGATTGATTAGTGCGCAATAATTAATTATTCATATAGGCTATTTTGCTAAATAGAGGTAATTGAATCCGTAATTGTTCGTTATCTCTATCTTAGTAGCAACTGACGTAATTGGATTTATGTCAGGGGAGCATACGATCTAATTTAAACAAACCCTCGTAGCGTGTTTGCTAGTTAGGATTGGGCCTTTCTAATTATTAATGCAATCTAGAAATTAAATCCTACGGTCGTACCTAAGGTTGTTTTTGGGTTAGAGAAATAGTTAACGGTCGTACCTTAACTATCGAGAAATTAAGGAAAGGTTGGTTGTTTATCGCGTGCATGACAACTATAACTAATCTATTAATAAATGTGGAATTATCTGTGAATCAATGATCAGTGCCTGAACCATTTCTGAAGTGTACCCTTGGCTAGAGTTTTCCCTTAATTATTTCTCTTAATCAATTATTTTCTGCAGTTAATTTATTTAGTTAGCATTTAATCCAAACCCCCCCATACTTTGAACTCTAGAAGAAACGAACTATCCCCAGTCCCTGGGGATTCGACCCTGCTCACCGCTATATACAAAATCTGTATTTTTCTGGAGTAGGTAATTATTATTGCACAGGTTCGGCACCTGTCAATTTTTGGCGCCGTTGCCGGGGACTGGTGTCAGATTAATTTGTTTCTTTTTGAGTTCACCTTGTTTTCATTTTTAATTTATTTTTCTCTTATTTTTCTATGGCGTCTAACACTTCGTATTTTGGTGAGATACTGGATTTTATTTCCGGGAAAGGCGATGCGACTAGTTTTTTCGCTAAATCTGCATACTTAGAGGCACTAAACTCTATTAGAAAAAGAATGGCTGCTGCAACCTGTAAAATTTGTTATGCCAGGGATCATTCAACCAGTATGTGCCCCGAATATCAAGATAATCTGAGTGTCCCACTCAATAATTATGGAGATTTTTCACCCTGGTCTTAAACGTGGTATAACCCTAATCCAAACGGGTATGATCAAGAATGGTGGAATAACTCCAATTATAATTATACAACAGGGCCACTGAATTTTCAGCAGTATGAGTTTCAAGAATCGTCATTTATGTCAGGTATGTCTCTTGAAGGAATAGTTGAACCAATAGCTACTAACACATACCAATTCCAACAGGAGACACAAATGGGGAATGAGATGATGCAGGATGCAATGAGTTATCTGGCAGATCAACTATGTCTATTGACATCCAGAATGCATCGATTGGCTTCTCAAATGAAAGAATTGCCCTCGAAAGCCGTTGTTGATCTAGAAGAAAACGAGAGTGCAATTTGCTTGACTGGTGATGAGGAGCTGCAAGAGTGTCAAAATGAGAAATCTACAGATGCAGTTGGAAAAGAAGCCGAAAATGAAGAAATGGAACCCCAACCGCAACCCATTCAAGTGAAAGAATCCAGTGAAGAATCATCAAATGTGGTGACACCACCTCCATCCCCTAACCTGCATTTTCTTAACTCTTACCCTATGATTTCTGTTAATGAGATTGATTTTGTTATACCGGAAGTTCTTGAGTCTCATGGCAGGAATGAGTTAAGAGTAGCTATGGTCAAATATCTTGAACCGTCGAAGGCTCTTGATGGAGGAGTGGATGAAGAATTGCGATCAATGCTTGATTATTTGGCGCCATCAACTAGTCCATGGAAAATCATATCTCGTGTGCTCAAAGATTACTCCATCTATGAGGGTTACCAGGATCATATTGAAGATGAAACATTGAAGCGAGCCACAAGATTTTATCCTCCGTGAACAAGCATAGCATGTCTAGCCAAAGACATTAAAGAAAGGCGCTTTTTGGGAGGCAACCCAAGACTATTTGTTTCAGTTTTCATGCATTTTTGAAGTTTTAGTTAAGTGTTAGCGTCAATTAATAGTTTGGTGCTTGGTGGCAGGAAATTAGCAGTTAGACGTGCCCACGTCAGGTGGTCACGCCTGAGGGAAAGAAATTTTCGTTCAGGATCTGCGGACTCTATAGCAGTTAGGCGTGCCCACGCCAGGTGGTCACGCCTGAGGGAAATAAATTTTCGTTCAGGATCTGCGGACGCTATAGTGGTTAGGCGTGCCTACGCCTAAGACTGGGTTCCTTTGCATTCCAAAAAAAAAAAAAAAAAGTTAATAAACATTTTCAAAGAAATTTTCTTTTAAACCTTAGGTTTTTTTTTTCTTTCCAAAAATTCAGAATTTTGAAATATAAATTCAGAAAAAAATGAAGAAACAAGGTTTTGAAAAAAAAAAATTTCCCTTTTTCTTTTCCTCTTTTTCTTCTTTTCTTCTTTCTTTCTTTCCTTCTTTTCTTCTTTCTTTCTTTCCTTCTTTCTTTCTTTCCTTTTCTTCTTCTTCTCCGCCGCTCCCCTGTTTCCCTCTGTTTCTTTTCTTTTTCTTTCACGTCGCTGCCGCAGCTCACACTCCACCAACGCCATCGCCACCACCACAAGCTCTCCTCCAACTTCGGCAGCCGCGCGCCACCACTCTCCCCTCGTCGATCTCCTTCTCCTTCTCCAGTGGTGACCCGATTCTATCGCCGCCAAGCTCCAACCTCCACTGAGCTCATCCCACGCAGCCCGCGAGCTGCCAGCTCGCGGCCAAGCTTCACCTTGCGCCACCAGTTCTGTCCTTTGCCCACCACCAACTAGCCCGCGCCGCTGCTGCTGTCCACCTCGCGCGCGCGCAACTCCAGCCAACAGAGCAACCCCATCGCGCGGCAGTGCGACCCTATCAACTCCCCAGCCACGGCCGTCCACCCACAGCTCGTCGAGCTCCTCCGTTCCAAGCTCCATCCCCGTCACCTCCACTCACCAGTGCCTTTGACCGCGCGCCGCACCTTTATCCATACCGCTCTCCATCCCGCAGCTACCACCGAAGGGCGCGGCTCCTCCTCGTGCGCCTCACCTCAACCCGCGCACCCCACAGCCAGCAACCGCGCGCGCCAACAGCTCCTCCTCCCTCGCGAGCCTTTCTGTCCAGCCACGCCGTCACCACCTGTCAGAAATCGACAGGTGGAGGTATTGTAATTCCTTCTCCAATTAGCTTAAATTTCTGGAATTTGTGTCTGGATTTCTGGTTGGATAGAAGAAGGTATTGGTTTGGGCAATTGCTAAGGTCAATTTTAGACAGAATTGGGTTGAATTGCTGCCACAGTGGGGATATTTTCTGCTATTCATTGCATTGTTGGCTGTTTGATTAATTTTTCCCCGTGACTCACCAGTGGTACTGGTTGAGATCTTTTGCCTATCGTTGTGGCTTCTATTTGAGGATACTTGCTTATTTTAAGGTTTCAGTTCTTGTGGTTGAGTTGCTGCCGTTGAATTTAATTCTTTCCTGTCTGTGCACCAGTGGTACTGGTTGCGGCATTGCTTAGAAGTCTTAAACTTTCTTAATTTCTATTCAGTTGTTGCTGGAATTGCTGGTTCCTTGTCCCAAGTGCTATTTTGAGCGTTTGACTTGGGTATTTGACTGTCCAATTGGTGACATTCACTTGCTCCAATTGGTTGAATTCATTGCTCTGTTGGGGTCCCTGTTGGTATCACTTGAGTTCTGCTTTGTTAGTTTCGGTATCGTGCCCCTTGATCTTATTTTGACTGAATTGGAGACTCAGCGCATATTCATTCAATTTGCTGTGTTGTTAGGGTACTTTTCTAGCCTTTAGGGTGCCTCAGTTGTGCATTTTATTAATTGGCTTGGCCATGTGGTTCCCTTCTTCCCTGTGCATGCACCAGTGGTACTGGTTGTGCTAATTTGTTTACAATTTCTTATTTCGATATGATTGAACATCTGTGACTGAGTATCCTTCGATCTTGCTGTTTTGTTGGGATCGTTTTTTGGTGTCAATTGAGTATCATTTGGTACTTTCTGTCTGGAGTCTATTGAGCTGCCTTTGGTTGGGGTGTATTGCATTTAATTGGTGCATTGCACGGCTCCTGTGCCATTTCCGTTGCTTATTGAAGTAGGTTGCCTCTATTTGCCTTGTGTGGGAGTATTTTGTCCTTTTCATTTCAATTGATAAATTCATGGGAGCACTTGTTGCGATTTTGGGATGCATTGTTATTGCATTTGACTAAGCAGGGGACCACCTATTGGCTAACGATTGGGTCCAACTCCGAATGCAAGTTGCATAACATGGCGCAGATTTTGGCAGCACTCCGCCTGACCCACTCCTGTTTTGATGACTTCAGGGAAGTACCATTGCCCCTCTCCTTCCTTCTACTTTTACATTATCACATTGAGGGCAATGTGTGGATTAGGTGTGGGGGGGATCAGTTGGGGTGCTAGTATTTTTGTTTTTAGTTCCTAAAGGCTTTTCCTTTATTTTTAGTTAGTTTTTGCCTATCTTTCATTTATTTTCTTTTCTTTTCTTTTTCTTTCTAGTGGTCAGTCCTTAAATGAATACCAAGTTTTGATGCTGGATTGTTGCCTCTAATTATGCTATTGCCAAGTTTTATTAATAAAAAGGTATCAAGTTGATGTGGTTGAATTCAGGAACATCTCTTTGGTGAATATCAATAATTGCTTAACTTTTTCAATTTTTGGTTAACTTTTCTAGGCATAGGGAATGATTGTTGGCATTCTTCATGTGAATTGGTCCAGTTATTAATTTTAGTTCTCTATATTTGAAAATTTGAGGCTGGCTGCTGTTATTTGGTGTTATTTTTAGTTATTGTGTTATGTTATCATAAATAAGAGTTGACTGTACTCCACTAGTGGTTACTACTGAGTAACCGGGGATCTTCACCTAAAGTGTCGATTTTCGCGTCAAAAGGTAGTAGTTGCTATGAGTGCGTGGTCCCGTAGCAATTGGAGCTGAGTAACCGGGCTCCTCCATCTGTCAAATGTTGGAGTTCGCGTCAAAAGGTTCTAAGGGCTATAGACTAAGTCTTTTGTTACTAAAAAAAAACAAAAAGAGAAAAATAATAAAATAAAGATTGTGTTAGTATGTGAATAAGTCAGCTTGCCAGCTTGTGATCTTAATGTCGAGATTTTGGTTAATAGTTGGACCATTTGCTGATAAATGTGAGCAACCATTCCTTTTTCTTAGATTAGTTTGCTTTAAATTGGAGGAGTTGGTGGTTGGGAAGCTAACCGGAGTGATTCTTCTTGGATCTTAACTTGTGAAGCTTGATATATGTTTTTCTGGGTATCTTGGCAATACGGTAGTTGGAGCAATAGCCATTATTAAATTTCGGTGTTCAATTGTTGTTCTCATGCTTGAGGGCAAACATGATTTAGGTGTGGGGGGAATTGATAGGGTGTTAATTGTTAGTAATTTTATTATTAATTTTCCCTTTTATTCTTGCCAAATATTGTTTTAATTATTAATATTTACTTATATTTGGTATTGGACTCAATTTCAGGAAGTGAACCAGAAAATTACCAAAAAGGAGGGACTTGTATGGAAAAATGCAGACTTCTAAGGGCTTCAACCTTTGGGTCCTTGAATTGGTGGGGACCACAAGCTAGTGCAAGGCATTTAGTCATTTGGGCTTTTCAAAGAAAGCAACGTAGAGAGACTTGGAACAACAAGTACTTTGGAGGCTTTGTCCACATGTGCGGGGACCACGGATAAGAAGCATGAGTCATTTGGACTCTAGGAAAGAAACGTACAAAGCTTGTGAAATGGAATTGGACTTTGAATTTGGTGTGGGGACCACTAGAGATAGCATTAGACTTCCTTTTGGCTTTAAAAAGGGAGAAACGTACGAGAAGAGGAGGAATCAATAGTTTTAGTTTAGATTTTTAGCATAGTTTTAGTTTTCTTTTCTTAGCTTTTTCGCATGGTTGTTCTCCATTAATGGAGGACTAACCTCTTAATTCTAGTCAAGGGGACAACTGAAGATTTGGTTCAACAATTACTGTGAGATCGAATTTATTTTAATTGTTTCCTCCATTTATTGGTATTCATATGTTTCTACTTTTAACTGTTATAACTCTTGTGTATGATTGATTAGTGCGCAATAATTAATTATTCATATAGGCTATTTTGCTAAATAGAGGTAATTGAATCCGTAATTGTTCGTTATGTCTATCTTAGTAGCAACTGACGTAATTGGATTTATGTCAGGGGAGCATACGATCTAATTTAAACAAACCCTCGTAGCATGTTTGCTAGTTAGGATTGGGCCTTTCTAATTATTAATGCAATCTAGAAATTAAATCCTACGGTCGTACCTAGGGTTGTTTTTGGGTTAGAGAAATAGTTAACGGTCGTACCTTAACTATCGAGAAATTAAGGAAAGGTTGGTTGTTTATCGCGTGCATGACAACTATAATTAATCTATTAATAAATGTGGAATTATCTGTGAATCAATGATCAGTGCCTGAACCATTTCTGAAGTGTACCCTTGGCTAGAGTTTTCCCTTAATTATTTCTCTTAATCAATTATTTTCTGCAGTTAATTTATTTAGTTAGCATTTAATCCAAAACCCCCCCATACTTTGAACTCTAGAAGAAACGAACTATCCCCAGTCCCTGTGGATTCGACCCTGCTCACCGCTATATACAAAATCTGTATTTTTCTGGAGTAGGTAATTATTATTGCACAGGTTCGGCACCTGTCAACTAGTAGACCTCTTTATTTGGGCAGAGCTAATGCCACAACGGAACTCAAGGTCAGAAGCATTTGATCAAGGTCACACGATATTAAACAAACTAATAAATGTTTGCTTGCTAGAAAAAATTACAGATTTCACAGGGGAGGACTATGTGAAGATGCATGATTTGGTCAGAGATATGGCATTAAGGATCACGAATGGAAACTCCAAACTAAAGATGAGAGGAGATGTACCACGGTTCTTGGTAAAAAGCATAGGCTGGCAAGATTCAAGTATACTAATACTAGAACAAGAAAAATGGACAGAAGATCTCTGTGCAGTTTCCTTTATATCGAGTCTGAGTGCAAAAATAAGAGTTCCACCAAGCTGGTCACCAAATTGTCCTAAGCTCTCAACCTTGCTTCTTCCTTATTTTTCCATAAAAAGAATTCCTGATTCATTCTTTCGGCACATGTGTGGACTTAAAGTTTTGAATCTAGAACTATGCAAAGGTATAACAGAGTTGCCTAATTCTGTTGCAGACTTGGTGAATCTCACTGCTTTGATTTTGAAGGGTTGTGAAGGCCTCCGATCTGTGCCGCCACTGGGAAAGCTCAAGCAATTGAGGGAATTGGATCTATCGTGGACTAAGATTCAGGATCTCCCTCAAGGTCTAGAGTCATTGGTTAATCTCGAAAGGCTTAACTTGGGCAATTGTCGGTCTTTCAGACGAAAGATAATACCAAAAGGGACATTTTCTGAATTGCACCGTCTTCAATGGCTAGTATTGTCACCCTATGGTACTGTACAATTTAATGATCCAGAAGTGTTGAACCAATTAAAAAGTTTTATAGGATGTTTATGTTTTACCGACTCCTATAAAATCTCTCGGTGGCCAGAATACTATTATCTTTATATCAATGATAACTTTTCATCTTTTTGTGACTACGTTCACTCGGCCGATGATATTGGGCATCACAAACGATTATACTTCCATCAGTGTAAATTGGGTAGAGGATTGAACCATCCTGTGTTGTTGCTGCCAAGTGATATAAAAAGTCTAGAACTCATTGATTGTGTTGGCCGGGGCATTAGGTGCTTGTCTGATGTTTTTAGGAATTTTACAAGTTTAAACGACTTGTCTTCTTTGGAGATCAGGGGTTTGGATGGAATAGAGTTCCTCTGGCAATTTTCTGCTCCTGCTCCACGTGATCAGCAGGCAGACTCCTCATTTAGTCCACTAAGAAAACTGCAAAATCTGATCCTCCGGAATTTGCTTGATCTAGTGGGTCTCTTTTTCGGGGAATCAGAAGCATATTTGCTTCAACCTGGCACCTTCTCTTCCCTTACGTGGTTGTCCATTCACAAATGTCACAAAATGAAGCGACTATTCACAGCGCAGCTGCTACAGAATCTTGAAAATCTAACACTAATTCATGTCAATGATTGTGAAGGAGTGGAGGAGATAGTAGCAGATGACAATGGTGTAGAACAAGGAGGAGGAGAAGGCATCCAATTGACTTCAAGTGATGCTACCGCCACGGTAATCCTTCCAAAATTAAGGTGTTTGAGTCTGAATAGGCTGCCACAACTAAAGAACGTTTGCAAGGTAGCCATGATTTGCGATTCAATCAAGGAGATTAAAATATTTGGTTGTCCAAAGGTAAAGAGGCTGCCTTTGTTTCTTCCTAACATCAACGGGCTACCATCTCTTCCCAACACTCTTCTTCAAATCATGGGAGATAAAGAATGGTGGGAATCATTAGAGTGGGACAATTCTTGCACCAAAAACGCCCTTGACCCATTTTTTACTACACATTCGGTGCTTCGCATCTTTAATTCAAGACCACCTCTTTGATCAAAAATGCCCATGTACAGGTCTTCTCCCCTTTCTCTAATGTTACCAACTATCCCCTTTCTTTGAGGTTTTTTTTTTTTTTTTTTTGTAAATGATGTGCTTCTCCACTAGTATAGAATTTGCTATTGCGTTGGAATCGATATTAACTCTTTCCATAGTGAGCTCAAGTTTTTCTCTGCTGCCTACCTTTCTTGCGGTGTAGAACTGCTTACACTCTTTCTTTAAGTAATTTACGTAATTTACTACATATGATGTTCTTTTTCTTTGAGTTTTTCTGATGGGCAAATGAATTTAAGCACTTTATTTGGAAAATGATATTAGTACTTTTCAAAAAAATTCAAATCCTTCTTGCAAAAGAAGAGGAGTGCCTAAGTTTTCTTGAGAAGTAGGGATGGCAATGGGGCGGGTGCCCGCGGGCAACCGCCCCGCGGGGGGCTCTCGGGGCGGGGGATGGGGCGGGGGCGGGGGGGAATTTTTTCCCCCCGTTTAGAAACGGGGTGGGGGGCGGGGGAGTATACCCCCGCCCCGCCACCCGCAAAAAAAAAATTATATATATAATTATATATAATATGTAATTTAATTAGTTATAAACTTATGATAATGATATTATTAGTTAGATGTATTATATAATATATATTAGTGTATGTAATATAATTAATATTATCAATTATACGAATAATTAGACATGTCTACTAATAGAATTTATTAATTAGTTATACTAAATTTACTAATACATTTATATTAAATTTCTAATTACACTTAATAGAATAACACTTTTTCTCAAAAAAAAAGCACAAACACAATAATGAATTAGTGATTGTATTTGTACCAAAAGTGAAAACTTAACTATTTTAGTTATATTTATTTCATCATGTTAGATTGTATTCAAATAATTTTTGTTTGATTGTTTTTATGAGTTTCAATTGTAAAATTAAAATGAATAATAACTTGATGATGTGTTGATATTTTAGTACTTGATTATTTATTAAAATTTAACTATAATAAAATTTTATTAACCCAACGGAAAAAATTTTATTAACCCCGCGGGTGCACCCGCGGGGGAAGCGGGGCGGGGCGGGGCGGGGGGCGGGGGGAGTTTGTAGGTAGCGGGGCGAGGGATGGGGGAGGGGTCCCCCGCCCCAACCCCGCCCCGTTGCCATCCCTATTGAGAAGTACTAATATCATTTCCCCTTTATTTTCTCTCTCTTTCTTTCTTCTTATTTATTTTTGAGTTCAATGTCATTATGATATTCTTTATTTCTTTTTTTTTTTCATTTTATGCTGTTGAATGTTCTCTGTCTTTCCCCTTTTTTGGAGAGGGTTAAGTTTTCCTCTACCGACTGCCTTTCTTATGATGCCGAACTGCTAATTGCATCCTTTCCTCATAGTCATCGGTACAATCTACTACCCACAGCTTTTCAATATCTTTTTTATTTTAAAATTTTCTTATTTCTATAATGTTAAATATTTTATTTTCTCTTTCTTTCTTTCTTCTTGTTCATTTGTGAATTCAGTGGCCTTATCAATTTATTCTATGAATGAGCTGATCTCTATGTTCTTTTTTTTTTTTTTTCATTTCCCGCACTTGATTATTGTCTTGTTTTTGCCTTTACTAAAGAAGCTTTCAAGATAAAGCAACAGGGTATCTATGTTGGTAGATGTTAAAATTCCAAATTTCATATTGAAAGCAACAAGAAGTTTGAAGGAAGTAGAATTGCAAAGTAACTTGCATGATGGTGCTTGCGTTCGTATCATGGATGAATTTGCTTTATGTTTCTAACTATACTGATCACGTGTTATTTGTCAATATTTGTCAGGTTATGCTGGCTATTTTAGGTAGCCACAAAATTGCTACTACAAGAGAGATGAATTTCCAAAAAGAAGTGTAAATTCAAGCATTGTCTACCAGCACCAAACTTCCTTTCAATACATTCTTATTCTTTAGCTGTATTACGGTTGCCGTTTTTTTCATGTTCAGCTTTCTATTGTAAGACTTGTCTCTTTTAGAGGCAATTGTGATCCATATGATTGATTCTAAAGTGATTGATATCCTGATTAATTATTGACATTTTGTCAATAATTAATTAGTATCTCCCATTTGTTAATGATTGATTGGTATCTTTTGCTAATTGATATCTTATTCAATCAGTTAATCAATCAATTAGTTAGAAAAGGTTATGGATTATGGCAATATTTCCTTAATGGAAGGAAACCTAGGGATTTTGGTATTTGCCAGAAAGGGTCCCTAACCTAACCTATAAATAACTGGTGGGTGTCAAACCAGCAAAAATAAAATTCCTACTCTTAAGTCACGAATTAAGTCCACTATGGTACTGGAGCAGGGACTTAGACTGTGCAATGGGTTACTAGCTTCACCCTGGTGCCAGAGTTTGCTTGATCCGATATAACAAAGTATCTTAATTACGTGAAAGATAAAATTTGAATATAGCAGTGAGCAGGGTCGAATCCACAGGGACTTGGGAATTTATTTTGAATGAATGTAACATTAAATAAAAATGGGGGGAATTGATATGGAACTGTCTAATTTAATTGCTCAAATTAAAAATAAGACAATCGCAGATAAAATAAATAACAATAAATATAAAGTAAATTAACGGAAGGAAAATCTCTTGTCAAAGGTATAATCTCCACTAATGGTTCGAATCATTGATCACAGATGCAGAGATAAAATCTTTCATTTACAAATAAACTGGTTATGGTTGTCAACAAGCTCTGACAACCTGCCTAATCTTCCTGATTCGATAACCACAACAAGCTCTGTGGTTATTGCCCTAGCCAATTAAACAGTCCTAAACACGCTCTTAGGATTTAACCTATTGACAGCATTAATCATTAGACTGGTCACCAATTATAACCAACAAACACACACGCTCGATTTATTTAGGCTATATCATATGTTTCCGCAACAATAACTCAAAAGTTTCTACTACAATTGAATCATGTCACTTGCCACATGCACTAAAATTACCCAACAATTACGGATTGAGCACTCTTAGATAGCTGTTAATTACTCACACAATTAAACAGTGATCAAGTATTTAATTGCAAGAAATAATCATATGCATAAGTGAACAGGAAATATATAAATACTTGCAAATTAAAGAACGTAGGCAAATCAATTCCATCTCACAGTTTTGTCGAACCAAAGCTTCGATTTAACCTCTGACTAGATGAAAAAATTAGCCACTCCTCATAGTTGAGTTGCAGCCAAAAGTACTACTCGAGTTCTTAATTGAAAAAGGAAAATAAATTGGGAAAAGGAAGGAAAAAGGGGACGGAACAGAATGGCTTGCGTTGATTTTCAGAGTCTTTTTTTTTTGCCCTTCTGTTTTCTTCTTTTTTATCCTCTTCAGTTGAACCAGAGGTCTTGTTTGACCTAGCGTTCCCCCAGGGCTTCTTTAGCGTTTCTTTCTTTTTTTTCCAAAAATGGGCCTCGTGTGCAATTGAAGCTCAATGGGATGCGGACTTTCTGCTGCATCAGTTGTATTGTTCTTTGCCGTAAACTAACCAAAAGTAAAAGCCCAAAACACTTGTTAACTTGATGCAGTAACAATCATCAACCGAACAGGGCATTGTAGATAAATACACCTAGATGGTTTCCACACCCCATCATCCCTGATGTAGCGGTTTTCAAGTATCAACTAAGAAACTTGTATCAAGATTTTCTTAATGAAATTTCCTCAATTAGGATTCAATTTCTCCTTTTCTGCCTCAATTGACTTGAAGTTCCTAGAAATCACACAAAATTCAAATATAAGTAGAATCTAGCAAATTATCACAACATTTGGTCAAAATAAAGGGGGAAATATTAACAAATAAACTGCCTAATTTGAGCATTAACAAATTCCCCCACACCAAGACAATACTTACCCTCAAGCATTCACTACCCAAAAATAGCAGTCAAGATCACAAATACTTGAATAGCTCCATAAACTAGCACAGGTGTCACATCTTCTCAACAATTTCACCAAAATTAGGATGTTAAAAACTTGACAAAGCTCACATGGATAGCAGTGTATACACTCCACCACTCAAAATATGGAAAGGATGTTTATATCACTCAAATCAACAACATGGGATAATTTTACCATATGCTTGCTAATATATCAAATCTCCACCACTTTAATGAACTTGATACAAAAATCAAAGGGTCTTTTAATAAGGATGTAATGGGGCTTGGGTTAAATGTTAGACAAAATGGACCTTTAGGCTAATAATGTCAAAAGAAATACCAATAGCTCATTGCATGAAATGAATCGCCCTTTTTTTTTTTTTCAATCCCATAACTCCAAGGCACATCAACAATCGAAGCCAACTCTACATAAGAACCTTCACACAGGCATCAACCCAACTTTCTCAACACTACTACAAGGACACTTCCATATTTTTTTTTGTTTTTTTTTTGTTTTTTGTTTTTTTTTTGGTGCAGCAAAACATAACTAAACTTGAAAGATAAACATAACTGCCAAATCCTTGTAGCAATACTTGATAATTTTCACGCAATAAAACTTAGGCATCCTTTTGACTCAAGGTTCAATAATAAAGTTCAAATAAAAAGGCTTAGGGTGCAAATTTGGGTATCAGACAAAGAAACAGTCAAGGCTCAGATTGGTTAACTAGGTGAAATATGATCAAGGTAGGCTTTTAGAAAGTCAAAAGGGGTTAAACCTAATTGCCCTTCTCATATTAATGCCTCAAATTCAAACGTGGTCTCGATATGCATAACAAAGCAAGTTCTAGAATATCAAACCATGTGTGATATCACTCATTCAAAGCAAATAGAGCAATTATAAATGTAATGCTCATTAGGCCCAAAAGCTCACAAAAAAATGAAAATATGTCAAATTTTTAAACACCCTTCATTCGAATCAATAGTCAAGAAAACACATTACTTGCACTAGCAATAAAATACCATTCACACGTGCATCTTGACTGAATCAATACGAATCTCAAAAGTCTTGAAAAATCAGAAACTAGAC